ACTGTGCATATAATCCTATTAAAAAATTTCTATTTTATACCTACTTTTTCCATGTTTTTTTTTATAAACATTAATTAATTTCCTGAATAGTACATTGGTAATTTCAGGAAAAAAGGCTAATTTTCTTTTGCATTTCTCAAGACACCAACAAAGTGATGAAGATGCCCCGGGAATTGAAAAATCTTTTTTGATATATTGAGCTTTTTATTTTTTCAACTTTTTCGACCATTAGGAGTGTATTGCTTTAATCAAGTTTCGTTTTTGGTTTCATGAGGATCGTTTTGGTGCATGCGAGTATGTTTCCTTGAAACAGCTCTTGGATTTAATTTTGTTTTCAATTTTTCCACAAAATTAGATAAGATTAAAAATCTTCTTTTCGCTTATATCAGTTTTAAGCAGTGATTGTCTATACAGTTTTATACGAATTACATTTTGGTTGCAACTTTCTGTAAATGAATATGAATTTTGAATTTGTTTTTTATTTCAAACTAATTTTAAACTGTTGGCCATAAATCATAGTAGCTTTCAGAGCGTGATTTTGCTTCCACTTTATTAGAACTTATTGTTTGTTATTGCTATTTTTTATATACCTTTATACTATATATTCTCTTTCATGTTTACAGTGAGAGAGAGATGTTCGATATTTTTCGCAAATACCACATCATTGTACCTTTATATATATATATTTTTTTACAAATGGCGAGCACTTGCCTTTAACAGCATTGGGCACTACTAGGCCAGAAGTGGTGGCCATTTTATTGTGGAGGCACCTAATAGGCGGCCACCATTACCTTCTATGAAGTGACAGACAATTTTATATCCATGCCTTCTCCGGGATTCGAACCCGGGCCCTTTGGTATCGCAGTCAGGCTCCCCTAACCACTATACCGTCTGGTCGGCTTGTACCTTTATATTATATTTACTTCCTTCTATTCATATTATTTTATTTTGCTCATAATCACATCTAAACTATAGTGACCTCTGACACATCACTTACCAAGTGATATAAAAAGAGCATGACAAACAGTATAGCACTGATGTAAATAGAGCACGGCAACGCATTGGCGCAATTTACATTACGGTTAATTAACACTAATTATCAAGGAAACATCTGAACAGCATTGTGTCATGTGTTATCCCATGATGTTATGGCCTGATTCATGTATTACTTCAGCAATCAGTTGATTATTAATAATTTATATTTTTATTGAAGAGAGTTAAAAATAACAGTATGATAAATAAATAAACCTATTACATATCTAAATTTTAAAAGCTTTCTTTTTACCAAATATGATATTTCCTTCCTTTTTAACTAATTTAATTTTTAAACAAATCAACTGAAAATAATATAGACTAATTATAATAACAACACTATCTTAATTATAAAAAAGAGTTTTATACTTTTATGATTTGCACTGCGGAACTTGCATTACATGCATTTAACTTTCCCAGACTTTAAATTAAAAATGATTATCTAGTTATGTCCTTTGAAATATACGCTTAGAAATGCCAAAGGTAATTTATTTGAGAAGCATTTAAAAGCCACGTGATAAGCAGCATTTATCGGTACCCAAATTTTAAAAAATGCTATGTATCCTAATTCCACACAAACAATTTATTTTATTTTAGTAAATTATCTGTTTTAGAATCCTTTGAAATTACTTCCCTTAAATATGGACTGTTGCAATTGATAAAAGGTGTAATATGAGCGATAGAACTATTTTCACAAACAAAAGATGCAGATATTGGGGATGTCTAATCAGTTAATTACGTTAAGGTCTTAAAACAGGCAATGGAGCTGGTAGATGTGTTTGTTTTTCTTCGATATTTTTAATTATAATTGCAGTATTAAGGGAAAAGAATTAAATACTAATGAATTTCAAAAGGAATTTTACAAACTGTTATTTGAAATGAAATAATTATTTGTAAACTTAATTTTTTTACACTAAATTTTATGTAGATTGAAATTTTTATGAACAATTTCTGTTTACAAGTGATACCAAGTCTCAAATTTACGTTCCACTTCAGTTAAGGTTATTTCTCTTAGATATCTTTAGTATCTCTTTCTAAGTTTGCAATTCTAAATGGTGCTATCATAATTAACCAATAACGTTTGTACAGTTGATAATGTTTTTAGTCTGAAAGGGAATTCAATATATTTCAATGAAAAAATGCGGGAGATATAACTTGCTTGCAAAATTATTATTCTTACGCTGTACAAACAAGCCATGCGTCAGGTTAGATGGAAAAGATGAAGATTTTAGGCAGACATTTCTAATCCGCACATTTTTTTAAAATTATATGTACATAGGAGCGATAATTGGTAATCGGCTTTACAGAGGCTACAGTTGCAGCTACACGCACTGTAACTGCTTTGCAATTATGAACTACATTTTTGCATTAATTGTTTTCCGAATTGAAGAAGATGCAGTTAAGGGTTTCAGAAACCTCTCTAGAGATCCTTCCTGTACGTTCTTGTCTTTTCTAAACTAGATATGCTACAGAATCACTTTAGAGGTTCCTTAGAACCTGCTTGAGAACTACAGACAATCCGCCCCCGAAATGATTCAAAAAGCAGATTCGCTTTAGTTAGCGATCGAATGGTGCTTCCACACAATGGAGCGTTAGTTCCTTCACCGACAGCTCTTGTCGAAAGTCTGCAAGGAAAATTTTTCCCCATTTATAGGAGAATAGTATACATTCTTTTCTCCTCTCATGTTAAAAATGAGCTTTATTTATATAATTTTTCAACTTTTTAACATGCTTTTATTCCAGAAAATTATTACTAATTCTATGTAGAAAAGAAGCTTTAAGTGAATCTTTGAACTACATTGAAAGAAATCAGTCCGGGGAATTAGTGCCTAGACTGAGTCCATTCTTCCGATCCCGTTGTTCATATGATTCCTTTTGCTTTTGGCTCGATCGTCGCACATCGCTAGTGATTATTCTTTGTTTTAGATCTTATTTATCAAGGCTATTGTTAGTGAATGGTGACTCAAAAAAAAAAAAAAAAAAAAAAGACTCAGTTTGTAAGGATTTTAAGGTTTACTAATGGTTATTTTATTTTAAAACTTTACTATCATCTCCTATTTTTCCCTTCCGGCCAGAATAAACGCGTTAACTTGTTTATGCGAATTGTACTTTCTAGCACTTAAGTATTTAAGTTGTGGTATTTTGCCAAGAGCAGAGTTAGATGGAGAGAAAGTGAGCCGGCTCGCCACTGCATTTCACGCGAGCTCTCCATCAGCTCCTGTCTGCCCTTAAGGCCAGAGGTTTTATTCCTCTCGAAAGCTAAAGACGTACTATAGTTTTCTGCAGTTTGCGTACTACATACGTAATAATTTAAAAGGCTAGTCTTAGTGTTAATCATTTGTGTAAAGTATTCAAAGTTAGCTCTTATTTAAATTTTAGTTACTCGGTAGTTCTTATATTTTTTGCATTCAGACCACGAGTGGTTGGTCTTTGTATCCCGAAATGCGGGGGCGCCTGTAATATGGTGGAAAATAAAGGGTAACTTAACCCTTCTCATCTTGTCATCCTTGCTGCACTCCATAGGATATAGTGTGTAGTCAAACTCACTGTGAAGTCAGCACACATCATGTTCCACAAACAGATTAGAAGGAACAGTAGTCCTGATAAGCTATGTGAATAAACGATTCTGATCTAATCCGATAAAAAAAAGCATTTTTTTTTCCACCTCTATTAGGGGCTCGATTCTAAGCAGACACATAAGAGATTTTCTCAATGTTCTTCACTTCCAATATCACCTAACGTGGTTACAGGCGGCATGATTAAAAGCGTTAGGTTTCATAATTTATTAGAGCTAGTCGATTGTTACAGATTAAAATATAAATATTAAATTCCTTCTTTCGTGGGCTGTTCTGATGTAGTGGCTACCATATCAAATAGTTATCTGAATGCCCAGATATTACGCTAGAAAAGAGGAGTACCCGACATAGAAAAGAGGAGGTACTTCGTGAAGAACCTTAAATATGTCTGATTGGACATACCCATCTTCCATTCACCCTTTAGGTGAGAAGGAATGTAGGGCCCTAATGAATTTTCCTTACTCGGTTTTTACAGGCTATTGTGACTAGCCTATTCATCCGATAATAAAAACGAGTTTCTTTCCTAGCTACGAATATTCAATTTCTCATTCTTCGTTCAAAAATTTACCAGTGTAACTACAGGTCAGATAAGGCGATAAAGAGGATCCAACAGCATATCAGTGATCATCTTGCGCAATTCCACCAATCCAGGAGCGAGGAATGGTTATGTCCAAGTACCATATTGAACACTACTGAACATAGAAACACAGATATTATTATCTCCTTAAGGTAACATTCTGATAATTATAGTTTTGCTAAAATTACTTTAACAATAAAAATGAGTGTAAATTTGCAGAACTATAGTTCCCAAAGTTAAACAGAAACATTACATACGTTTTCAGGTTTTGAAAGTTGTAAATGCATGTTCGTATAAAGATCATACAGCGCAAGAAGAAAAGAGGGAAATTTCATATATTTGAACCAACTAATAATTCTTCAGCTGCAGGTGTAAAAGTGACGAAGAGATAATAAGTACTTATGCGATAACTATAAAGAGAAAACTCAACAAACGTTTCATCCTCCCCCCCTCCCGAAAAAAAAGAAAGAAAAATTTACGTAACTTACGCTGATTGTTGTTTCTATAATATTTTTAACACTGTGATTATTATTTTTGTAGTAATTACCATAATTTTATTGTGCAAGAAATAATAACTTCGCAAGCTAACAAAATCTGCTATTCCCTTTTAAACATCATGCCAAAAAATAATGTTTATATGATACTACTTTCTTTACTATTTCCACGATGCGTTCTACAATCAGTTTCTGAAACGAAAACTGCATCAACATAGAATGAGCGATGATGTCAAATTTATAGGTCTATTCTAATAACATTAATTCGTCTAGAATTAGAAAGAATGCTCATTATCTGCGAGCTCGAAGTTAAGAATTTACCTGCCTGGTGAGTGTGATGGTGAGGTTGGAGACGGTCACCCAACCATCTTGCACTCGAGTTGTCACGGACTCACCACTACCTATACGGGATCCGTCCACCACCCACGTGATCTGGGACGGAGGGTTGCTAATTTCGGTCGAACACGTCAAAGTTACTGTGTCTCCTTTCCGAGCTTCCAGCGGTCCAATCAATTTCACATTTGCTGGAGGATCTGCCAAAAATTGTAAAAAATAACATTGTTTCCAAATTAGATAGAATAATATTGCAAAATATACTAAATGAAAAATTTTGCATAACTATATAAATGCAACCGTGTATATTTCAATAAGCATACAAAGTTCAAAAACATAAAAATTTCCAAAAGTGTCCACAATTTTGGCCACCACTGTATTTTCACGCATGCCTGCGCTTGTATTAAAAGTATTTTAACACATTGTGGCGACTTCTGCAGATAGTCAAGTTCATACTAGTGGTTCCCAAACTTAACTTTGCTCATGGACCCTTTCCTATAGCAGAAACCGAACTTAAACCACCAATGAAATAACTCTACATAACTGCATCATTAAAGAAATTAGAAATTTAACTTTGATGTCTTGAATGGTAAACGGTGACGTAAAAACAAAATATAAATAAAGCATTTTGATATTTAATAGTAACATTTATTGAAATTTTAACTTTTGTCTTAAAATACATAAACACATTATTCTTTAATTAGTGATATTGGTGAAGGGGGGACTAATATGAGATGGTGTCCGCCGAAAACGTCGTGGCAAAAACGTCGTAGTACAAAACGTCGAGGGAGAAAAATCGCAAAGAGAAAACATAGCAGTTCTAAAACATCGTGGTACAAAATATCGTGGTCCACAATAAAGTGGTTCATAAACTTCGCGGTTTAAAATCATCGTCGTCAAAAATATCGTGGTAAAAAATAAAGTACCTCATCGCATGACGATAAAATCGCAAACATACGTTTTCAGGTTTTGAAAGTTGTAAATGCATGTTCGTATAAAGATCGTACAGCAGAAAAGAGGGAAAGAGCAGAAGCAGAAAAGAAGAAAAGAGGGAAATTTCATATATTTGAACGAACTAATAAATTTTTGCTGAAAAAATAAGAAGGAAACTTAAGCTTTTAAAATTTGAAAATGAGTAGGAAATTAATGCAACTTAAATAGTTTAATAAAATTCTTAACTTATATAGTTATTGAACAAAGGTTATTAATAAATAAAACTCTTTTTATGAAGTTTAACTCCTAATTTTTCCTAAAAAATACAGTCTAAAATGCTTAGAAAAGGAAGATAAATTACTGCATGAGATTAATTCTATAAAATATGCTTAGTTAATAATCAGATTATTTTCTTTCACATTTGTTAATCTGATGTTGTTTTAATGAAAATTACATGTTGTTTTGTTTCCGTTTATTATTTAAATGTCGCTAACATTTTCATTTATAGTGTGCAGTCAATTTTTCGGATGTCGATTTGTTAGTCATGACAAATGTTAGTTACATAATATGTCACTATAAAGAGAAAACTCCATCGCACACATGCGAAATCGCACACATGCGATTTAAAAAACGCATGTGTGCGATGTTATCGTCATGCGATGATTTGTAGATACTTTATTTTTTTACCACGATATTTTAGAACTGCGATGTTTTTTCCCACGATGCTTTCTCCGCGCCATTTTCGTCCGCGATGTTTTTGCCGCGATATTTCCGGCTGTAACCTATTAGATTATTTATGTTTGAATGTTTGTGAATCTTCATGAATACTCTGATTGCAGCCGGTTTCTTTTCTTTGTGATGAGGTTGATAACAACATATTATTCGCGGAAGAAGTCAACCCCTTCTCTGCAGTGACCCATAACGCAGAATATAAAACTGGCATCTGGGTTTTTGTAATCAGAATTTGTGGTACCTTTGTTCAAGCATTGGTTTCAGCTCCTCATTTGTGAATATTTCAATAATTTGCCCTTGTATTAGTATGGATTCATCTGAGTTTGTGGATCTACGTGCAAAAGGATCCAACACCCTATCGGGAATATCCAAGTGAAGAATGTCTTCAAATCTTTGGCTGAGATCAGAATGAAGAGCAGTTAAGCGTTATAATAAGCAAGCAAATTTTCATCTCTTTTTTTCAGTTTGAAAGGTCTAGAAACTGAGAGCATTCTCCTCTCTACACATTTTGTTTGTATAGAAAACGTTTTGCAATTAATGCTGATATTGTAATTTTAGTTGTGATTAAATTTAATTGATCATCTTGTGGCTTCGAATTCGTTTTGGTAATTTTGGCAGATAATTCAGTCACATAGGCTGTGCCATTTTTTAAATTAAATAAACTGAATTAAACCAAAGTATGTATGCAATCGATTTAAACATGCACTTTTAGATAAGAAGTGAATATCCATGTTAAATAGTAAACAATTATAATCTTCATCAATTTCCAAATAAATTTGAACAAATAATCTCTCATTTAAGGCGTTCCTTTGATTTTTATTAACTTTTCTAGTCATATAATCTAATGAGCAATCCAAGCGTTCACTACGAATTTTGGTGACCAAATGTTTCGATGAATTATGAAATGTACAGATAATGGATTTGGTGTAATTTGGTTTCAGTACGTCAGAAAGCTCCTACTATAACCGGATCACAGTCCGTTGGAACGGACAAGATATTTCAAAAGCGTATAGTTGTTACATCGGAAAATGCCTTTTAATTCATCAAGTATTATTTTTCCGCTGGTATAAAAAGCTCTTCACCAATGGTATGCGATTTTCCGATCAGTTAGCTTTACTGCACTCAGTAAAGAAATGTTATAAGAAAAGCACAGCTCATCACGATCTCGCTCAGATGTTGCCACAATGACTGTGTTTCCAAATATTTTTCTTTGGCAGCTTTGAAAAATGTTAAATCTTTGTGTTTTTTGTCTCAATGGACTATTGTCAAGTTTTCATTAAACTTCGTTGACTCCCTTGACAAGATTAAATAGAAGTACACGCATAAAGTACTATACCTTGGTAACAGAAGCAATCCATATTTTGAATATTTAACACTGTATTGTCTGCATTTTTTCTTCAGCTCACCTATACTGTTATTCGTAAAAAGAGGACATGTTTGTATCATTTACACAGGACGCAAATATTTCTTCCAGTTTAATTTACTGTTACTTATATGAACTTCTTATAATAATGAAAATGGGTCACAATTACTGTTTTTTACATAAACCATTTGAGGACACCCTTGGCAATGTACGCCTTCAGGTACATTCCGCGGTACGCCCTCAGGTATTGTTAACAGTTCTTCCATGCTGCGAGAATACGTTAAACGCTTTCTGACCTAAAAGGACCATCGCCAATTGATCACACTGTTGGTCCTAAGCTACGCACTCAATTATTATTCAAGAAGACTTCTAACCATTCTATTATCTATGTTCCGTATTGACAAGATCCACAGTTAGATAAAACTCCCGAGACCAGAATTACTACATAACATTAATGAGCAATGTCTCATCATTAAAAATAAACTTTCAATGTATGTTTTTTTTCGTATTTTTATACATAAAATTGATTGCAAAGAACATAAAAGTGAAATTCTAAGAATATATTCTCAAATGTAAAGTTTCTGAAAAGTAAAATGAATGTTCTAAAAGAGCTGTTCAAAGAATGAAAATATATAATTGATCAAAAGAACGGAATCAAAATGTCTGAATCATAATGAATCTTTCACAATGTTCTGGAGCAAGATTCTCAATCAAAATAATTCCTGCAAAGGTATTTTTCGAAATCATTCAAATGTTCAGAACAACGATTCTGCTATTTAATGATTACGCATAGCAAGATTCCGATGTCCCTTAAGGCAACGATGTAAAGGCAATTAGTACTTTGATTAAATCCGGGTTAATTATCTGCGTTCTGAATGCCACGATCCTTTATCTTATGAGCAAAGGAATTTTGAAACAAATAACAAGGCTTGGAAATTTCATCTTCAGTCTCTTCCGAAGATTCTAGTTAGGGCATACTTGATTGGTATATGCGAAAGAGCTTTATTGCAGGAATGAAAATCAGACTGACTGAACTTGAAAGCCATTCCTCGTATTCTCTTTCAACTAGAAAGTAATTAAATTTTCTATTACAATTACTTTGATGTTGTAGAATTCCTGAGAGTGTTCCAACTTTATCTTTTTTCTTTTATTTGCTATCACTAAGGTTTTATAATCGTTGCAGAGGTTTAAAATGTTTTAAATCTAACAAAATATAGTTGTTACTTTTTAAATACAACTATCTTTAAATTTATTTAAAATGATTAGTAATACATAAATAAAATCTCTCATGGTAACCATCTCCCGCAGATGACACATCTTAACGCGAAGAGTAATTCTGAAAGCATAAAAAAATCTGAAATGATAATTATAATACTAAATTATTATCTAAAAAATCTGATATGTGCACCACATGACTTCCTTGTACGGAATATTAAATTATACCAATTTTTCATAGCATTTCATTTAATTTTATTGGACTGAATTAAATCTACTTCGACGATAACGCATAAACCACAATAGAATAAATGCACTCTTTAAAGTTCAGTGTATTTGTTTACTATAGCAACATTCTGGCCCTAGGTTCACTGAAGGGGACATATGACATACAAATTTTCAAATATTCAAATTTTCAACTTCGGGCTAAAAAAAAAGTAGCCTGAGACGATTCCAAAAATATGTAATTTAACCATGTTTAGAAATTTTAAGACCCAAATCTTTCATTAAAAATGTAAACCAGCACTAGCACGTTCACCAGTTGAGAAGGGACATATGTCTGGTACAACAACAATAAAGCCATATCAGCTGGTAAAAGGTATGTCCATAAACATTCTTAGTTAGAACCTGTTTTATAAGCTGAGAAGAAGTCTTTTTGACAAAAAACTCTGTCAAATCGCATTCATGGCAGAAGTCAAAACCCACCGCTCAACCGGTATAGTGGTTAGCGACGCTGCAGTGCCAAAGAGGCCGTGTTCGAATCTCGGAGAAGGCACTGAAGTTTTTAAATGAATAGTGTCAGTGCGACATGGAAGCATCCGAAATATGCGGCGAGTCAAAAGTTCTCTCATGAAGTGGGTGGTAGGGGATGAAGGGTGGGAGACCTTCGGCCCCTTTTTCCCTGGGGTTCACTCCATCAAAATGGGAGCGGAACTGAGCTAAATCGCACTGTCACCT